AAGGAGCAGGGGAAGTGGGAGGGGGAGGGGAAAGGAAAGAAGGGAAAAGAAAAAATATGAGAAAAGGAAAAAAATGGAAACAAAATCTTTGTAAATAGGGAAGGGTGGAGGGGGTGAAGGGAGGGCAGGGGAAGGGGAAAAAAATAAGAACCAAGATACTCATGTAACGGTACAAGATCCCAATGATGTATGTAAATGTATTTTATATCTAAAATGTACCAATAAACTTAATGGGGGAAAATTTTTTTTTTTGACATAGGGTCTTGCTAAGTTGCTTAGACTGAGCTTGAACTGTGATCCTCCTGCCTCAGCCTCCCAGAGTGCTGGGATTATAGCTGTGTGCCACTGTACCTAGCATAGTGTGGATTGTACCTGCTTTCAAGAGATTATGTTATGTGTTAGGGGAGGAAGAGAATGACTGGTTGTTGGTACTTGGAGTTGTACTTCCAAAGCAAATATTAAGCTGGTGTGTTGAATGCACAACATTGAGAGCAGACATTCTCAGTGGGGCTGGTGTAGCCACCAGAGGACATTTGACAATGTCTAGAGACAGTTTTAGTGCTTGTGGCTGGGGTGGGGCATCATGGTCTCTAAAAGGTAGAGAGCAGAGAGGCTGCAAACATCTGACAAGCACAGGATAGTCGGAATCGTCTCACTTAAAGGTCAATGGTACTGAAATCAAGCAGCTCTGTTCTGGGCCATGGCTCAGCTTGCTGTGTGACCAGAATGAGTTAGGCAGGTCTCTAGCCCAGCGCCGTCTAGTTATGAAAGGGGCTGTGGAGTGTTGTCAGTTCTTTAGAAATGGCTCACCAATTAAACGCATTTCAGTGGTTTGTTTTGCCTCAAACAAAGAATTGAATGAGACAATCCAAAAATGATGCCAAAGTTTATTTCAAAATCGAGGGGTGGAGGGGTGAAGGAGTGAGGGAAAAACTGGCTCTGTAGAGAAAATTTGGGCCAAACAAAAGAAAAAATAAATGCAAAAATAAAAGTACACCCTTGCCCAGAAATGCAGGGCGGGCTATCATGAAGAGTCATGACAGTGGGCTCCTTGTGATATCTTTGTCCTTATATTTTGTCCACGTGTCATGGGAGCCTGTGAGAAGTTCCACATATGGGGTCCTGGGAATTATCTGGCACTGTCCTGGAATCTTCTGGTTGATAGGTCCCTCTTATTTCCCCAGCCAGCTTTGCCATGACCTACCTCCTCTATCAGGGGGTGAGTATTCTCTTTGTTTTGTAACATTCTAGGGACGATTTGCAAGATGCAGGGACCATGCTTACTAGAAGGCCAAAGTAGATCCACAGCATTGGGATTTGGCAGCCCCGGTATGGATCAAGGAATGCAGCACAGGAGGGCTTCCTTGGGATGGCTCAGATTGTCTGCTCCCAATATAGCAATGGTATGCATTTCTCCAATAACTCTACCTTCCACTTGGGGTCAAAACCAGAGCTTCTTAGAAATGGGAGCCAACAAAGGCAGGTGAGGTGACACAGGGCATCTCAGATATGTTAGATGCATTCACATCCTTATCTAATCTAAACTCTAGAAAACCCTGCAAGAGTATCCCTCATATCAGGTGAAGAAGTTGAGGTTCAGAGAGGTAAAGTGAGTTGCCTAAGATCACACAGCTTCTAAGTGGCAGTGAGAAGATTTTCAAACCTAAGATAGTCTGATTGCAAAGCCCATTGGGAGTCAGGTGTGGTGGCACAGGCTGAAATCCTATACTTGGGAGGTTGAAGCAGGAGGATCACCTTGAGTTGAAGGCCAGCCTGGGCTACATAGTGAGTCCAAGGCCAGCCTGAACTACATAGGGTGACCATGTCTAAAAAACAAACAAACAAACAAACAAATCAAACTATTAAGCTATTGAATTCTCTCTCTCTCTGTCTTTTTTTTGAGACAGGGTCTCACTATGTAGTTCAGGCTGGCCTTGCACTCATTATGCATTCCAGGCTGGTCTCGAACTCATGGCAAGCCTCCTGCCTCAGCCCCCTGAGTGCTGGGATTACAGGTGTGGGCTACCACACCTGGCTGTGAATGTGGTATTCTGCTCCATGCTTCTGTGACTGTTTTAATAGAAAAATAATTTATTTTCTCCAGGTGGTCACTGGACAAACATCAGTTTGGCACATGTGTGGGCTGGGTGTGTGACCTTGTGTAGCTAGCACTGCCAAATGGAATTTTAAAAGTTAGTTTTTTTCTTCTAGAGATAAGCAACTTCTCCAAACTTCCTCCTGCTGGGCATATAGCCAAAATTCTGTCCTCTCCTCAGCCCAAAAGAAGTGGCAGAACATACAGGTGCCACCATCCCAGGAGCTGAGAGCCTTTCCACAAGGACGAGGAGAATGAGCTGAAGGTGGCTGGAAGCGCTAGAGCCAGTGTGGAGCTCTGTGTTATCTCTCTGGTCCCTTCTCTGCCCTGCTCTGTACTGTAGAGTTCTTTGCCCACATGTACCTGGGGAGATGGTGATATGAGGCTAATGGCCCCTTGCATTTCCTCAGAGCCAACATTGTATAAATCCCTTTTTCCCTCTTCCCGGAACTTGTGGCCTCCTTTGGTTTGGTTACTGGTGAACTGGTGGCCCTGGGCTGATGAACCTGAGCAGCCGGGACATTTGGGCAAATGACACAGGTTCTCTGGCTGAGGGTTGCCCATCTACAGAACAGGAGAAGAGACAGGCTGTTTGGCCACATGGCTGTGAGAATTGGAAAGGGACACAAAATTCCACTCAGGAAGTCATCCATTGGGTCCTAAGTGGAACAGTTCAGGAGTAGCCTGGCTTCAGGCATGGCTGGATGCAGGGTGCTGATGATGACAGAGGACTGAGTTCCTCTCTGCCTGTGATGCTGCCTTCCCCTGTGAGGTCCACCCTCAGGCTGCATGGAGTGGCCTGAGGCAGCTCCAGGTTCTTCTCCTGGGGACAAGAGACTTGCAGAATCTTTGGCCCATTGCATCTCCACTGCAGCAAAGCTCCTGGAATTTTGGACTGGAGGATTCTTTGTTACGGCGGCTGTCCTGTGTTGCACACACAGTTGATACCAGTCGCCCCCCTCTCCCCAGTTCGGACAGCCAAAGCTGATTTCACACATTGCTAGACATACATTGGGGGCTAGACACACATTGCCACTACTCCTTTCTTTCTATTTTGATGTGGAAGCCACACATCCTCTCCTGAGGGTGAGCAGAAGCCTTTCAGTTCCCAGAGGTCCTATGAGCCTTCTGATTGGACCTGCCTCTATTCACATGACCACTCTGAACCAATTGCTGTGGTTAGGGAGGGAATGCAGTGTGTGGATTGGCCAGACCTGGAGTATGTGCTCCATCCTTGGGCCTGGGCATCCAGGCTTGATCTAGACCAGTATCCCAGGTTTGAGGTTGAGCTGTCCCTGGACAAAATACCAGGCTTTCCTGCTGGGAGGAGAGGAAGTGGAGGCTGGGGAGGTGGGGAACAAGTAGCCACTA